CATTCATTTGGTAGTGGAGGATCAGCTTATAGACAGTTTCAGCTACTATCTGACATCACTATTGACAGTAAAGGATTACATGTAGTGTATGAATAATTAGACTATGGTATGCATAGCATGCTTTGATCTTTTGGAGATAATGAAAACATCTAAACCACCTGCAGACAGGTGTCTAAACAGTTTAGATACCTACCACACCCAACAAATTTTAATTGTTAATGTTTTGAATAACAACAGAAAAGTTTACATGATGTTCCTGTGAGTTCATTTAAAGTCAAAGTTGACTGAATCATTTGGTAAGAAGATAAAATTTGACAGTGATGAGCAGCAGTACTGAAAAGAATGTCGTAGCAAATGAGCCAGATGTCAGGTCTACTATGGCTGCTATTCCAGCCCATCTCAACTTCATTTTGCTGGGTAAGACTGGTAGGTTAGCCTGTCTAAGGTGAGACAGTCGAGGAGACAGCATAGCCATTCTCCATTTAAACACACGAGGAGTGGACCATGCATGCGCAGTACGACCATAGTCTAAGCCGGTTATTGACCTCAGCCTCAGCATTAACCACCTCAGCCTCTGGCTACGCCCTTGGCCTCGGTGGTTATCTAATCTTCCTTCGGTATCTAAAATAACGTAATGCCTCGGCTTTGGTCAATAACCTTTACTCATCACATTCAGTTCTCTCCAGATGGAAAGTTTGTGGGTTAGTTTGGCACTAAAGGATCTGGTCCTGGATAGCTTAAGAAACCAATGGGTATAACAATAGACACTGTAGCTACTGATCTAGTGTCTGTTAGTGAATGGGGCAATGCTCGTATCTCAGTCTTCACTAGTGATGGTGTGTTTATTAGGAGGTTTGGAGAGGAAGGTAGTAATATTGGTCATTTTTATGCTCCTTATGGAATAGCATTTGATAAAGATGGATTTTTGTGCATTTGTGATTATGGTAGTAGCTGAATTGTTGTTTTATTAAAATAATGTAAACTTTATTTATTTTATGCACTATTTTATTATTAAAAATTAATTAAACTAAACTAACTATTAAATTATATATAATGGCATTACTTGGCTAGGATGAAGTCCATAAGAAAGGTAATATTCATTGAGATTTATTATTATGCTGATTTTTTGGAAATTTACCTTTTTACCTTAGCACTGGAAAACTATAACTTTTTTATATCTCATTTCCATGGGCTTTAATATTGATCAAGCAAGACATGTACACTACTGTGTATATGCATACATGTACATACATGTACATGGCTCATAGTGAAATGTAGAGCAATAGACAAAGACTCCTGCTCCTCCACTGGCTTGGCAATAGTAGTTAGAACTTTGCTTGGTCCGTTTACTCCATTAATTAGTTTTCTATGTGTGGATGTTAGGGGATTTAATTTCATCGATTAAACTGAATTGCAAAATTAATGAAAAATAATACCCTACGAAAATTACCAACTGTACATGTACAGGGCATGTATTTTTATTTTATGTATACATGTACTTGTATATTATCAGCTTTGCAACTGCTACATGTCTTACTTGTGTCAGTCTTTTTTCCTGCTATCTATGCATTGTATTACATATTGAATGTTACATCACTTCCTGTGAGATGAGGTTAAAACAGCATTATAGTATAAGGGGGAAGACTATAGCTCTGTCTTGTAAAGATGTCTCTTGAGGATTATCCAAAGGATGAGAATAGTACTTTCTGTGGCCATTCAATCAATGATGAGTTGAAGCCTCTGCTGCTGGTATTCTGTACAAGTGGATCTGTTTGTTCATTCTTTTGTGCACTTGCTATTCTAGTCATGATCTTCTGTAGGTTCTTCACAGTCCTGACTCATCGCCTCATACTGTACATGCTGCTAGGAATATTGTTCTTTTCTTTCATAGTTGCTGTTCAGTTCCTGGATCTATGGTTTAAATTTTGGGAAGGGAATCATTCAACCAAGTGTGTGATTCAGTCATACTTGGCTGAATACTCTCTTTGGGTTATGTTGCTGTCCACTCTAATGGTGACACTACATTTAACAGTAATGGTCCTTTTTCCTTCTTTCTACCTTAGCATTGGAAAACTAGAACCATTCTATATTTTGTTTCCATGGGCCTTCCCCATTTTGATTGCCTGGATACCGTTTATACATCATGACTATGGTATATCTGGTTCTTGGTGCTGGATAAGGCTCTATAACAATGACTGCTCACTGAACAAAGAAGGAATGATTGAGATGTACGCTCTTTGGTATGGTGAGCTGTTTGTTACTTTGATTCTTAACAACGTTGCTCTTGTCATCATATCAATAACTTTATGTAAACGTGCTTATCAGAAGACAATGTCTCTGGATTACAGGAAAGCCCTCAAACAGACTCTCCCACTTTTGATATATCCAATCACATATCAGTTCTTCAGTTGGTTTGCAATTGCGAACAGATTGTATCAGGCACTTAACAATGGGCATTACGTAAAGTGGTTGTTTTATACACATGCTCTTACTGGGCCTAGTTGGGGATTTTTGGCTCCTGTTTTTATGTTACTCTACCTCTTGTCACTATATAGAGTGGTCAAGGGGAATA